TTTAACTTCAGGTTAGATACCGTATATGTGTTCTGTTTGAAGTTTTCCAAAAAATTCCCAGTGTGTTATTAGTCACAGGTACTAACTTAATAGTATACCTATTCACAATATTTGAAATACATAATTTGCAAAGCTCATTTCTTTCTTGGAGGCAATAAACTTGTTGCTCAGGTGTGCATGTGCTCAACTGTTGCTTCAGGCGTGCATGTGCCCAGTGACTTGGCTCGCAATCTCAGAAATTATCTGTCTGCACATGCAAGATAAAAGTAAGTCTCTGAACCTCTAGAGTTTTGTGCAATAGTCCTATTGCAAATTTGTCATTTTGTCTGTCTTCAATTATTCATTAGCTCTTCAATTATTCATTTCATTTATTGTTAGCACCTTTGTTAGCTGCTTGCTTTTAGTACTTCATGGGGACACATGCTTCTTTCAGTAATTTAGGTTTCCTTTTATTATTTTGTTCTCCAGCTTTTGACTTGGCCACCTTTCTCTCTCTCAAAAAAAGTGGCCCCATACCTTTTGGGCAGCAGGGACTGGTTCCATGGGGAGAGGTTTTTCCACCGATGAAAGGGGACGTGGTTTTGTGTGCTGCCTGAGCGGATGGGGCTTCGCTTGTTTGTGCAGTCCAGTTTTTTACATGCTATGGACTGATTGTGGTCTACACACCAGGGGTGGGGAACCCCCGTTTTAAAACATTTGTTTTAAATCTCAGCCCTAAATATTGTGTCCTTAAGAAATGGCAACTGATGTGCTGTCTAACTAAGGTTTATAAAGATTAAAAATACAGGTAGTACTCAATTTATAATCACAATTGAGCCTAAAATTTGTTGCCAAACAAGACTGTTGCCCTATTTTATGTCCTTTCTTGCCATGGTCATTCAGCATTTCCGTTAACTTTACTTGTGAGAAGATCCCAATGGCTCGGGGACATTGCAGCCATCTTGAGACAATTGCCAAGCATCTGCATTTTGATCATGTGACTAAGGGGATGTTACAATGGTGGTGGGAAAAACAGCCATAGGTCACTTTTTTCAATGCTGCTGTAACTTTGAACAATCACTTAACAAATTAAGTTGAGGACTACCTGTAGTCATTTTGGGAATGAGGTATAATTTTGATAACTAAATGAATAAATTGATTTTTCATCAGATTGCATTAAATGAATGGGTTCTTTCCTTAGTATCTTGTTCAGAGGCACCAAGCTAGAATATTTAGGGGAATATTTCTGTATTTCTATATACTAGTTTGAAGACGTGGCAAAAGAGATTTGTGCTTCATACAGTTTATTCAGCATTGCCAAAAATAAAAATACAGTTACTACTTGAACAAGCAAAATACAGCCATACAATTAAAGGCATCAGTACTTGTATACACATGAATTATAATGAAAATATCAATTTGTATTTGTAGCTTTATATTACAAATAGACCCCAGCAGAACTCTTCAGGACATTCTGGCAACTTGTTATAAATCCTCTCCCTATGTCATTAACAGCTGCTGCTTTAAGAATTACACAAAAGGAGATCCAGTATTTTGTTCATGATAACAGTGTAAAAAAGGCCATGGCTGCAATAGGAAAACTTTAAATAACTAGCATTGTATTTGGCATTGAAGTGTTCTACAAGTGAAGCCTTAAGACTAATGTTACGGGCTTTTAGGTGTAACTGAATATTGCATTTGTAAAAGTTTCTGTTTACAGCAAATTTTAAATGTTTAATACCTAAATATTGACTTATATTGTTAAGAGTATTATTAGCTGGCTATAGTATTTCTAATGGTTGACTACAATTTGAATGATTGCAAAACTGATCAACATGACTTTTCATGCTTGAAAACAGCTGTATGGCAGCAATACGGTAGAAAATGTGTATGAGAGACATTGTTGGTCAGGTTTTATTGTTAACTGTGAAATAACTGTATTCCAGGCATGTTGGTGATCTTGGAAATGTTATTGCAAATGCGTCGGGTGTTGCAGAGGTGTCAATGGAGGACCAGATTATTTCTCTCTCAGGCTCACATTCAATTATTGGACGTTCTATGGTGGTAAGTATGGAAATTTATTTTTTATTCTGGCTTTCACTATCAACCTTTGTAAGTTGAGTGACCTTTGTAAGCAATTAAAAAAAAAAATTATAAACCCAGAATTTTCAGGTGGTAATCAGCAGGGACGTGTGTAAAACCGTTGATATGGAACCCATTGACCAAACCAGATTTCTTGATGTCTTGGTATAAATTATAGATGGAGAAATATCCAGTAGAGGTCCATAATATAAGATAGTTCTGCATATGCTTACATTTTCAGATTAATCATCATAGAAAGATGTACCTGTACACTAGGAATATTGAACATTCATACAGTTGCCAGTGGCTCAAATCAGGCTGGCTGTAACAAAGAATGCTATGAGATGTAATTCATCACACATGGAGAAGAGGAAACTATCCAGATTTGGTAGCTGTATTATGAGCATATAGGAATAACAACACAACACAGAAGGCAGTAATCCTTTTTTGATTCCTTAATTGCATTTATCTAGAACATAAGTGTAAATTTTGATAATATACTATAATGGCTCATATTTCTCATGAAGCCTGCTTGCCCTGGAACAAGATTGCTCAGTATCTTGTGAGCATTTTATGTTCTTGTTGCAGCAAAGGATTTGCCAGTATCTTAAGTAATTTTAACTTACTATTAAACTAGTAGATGCCTTCTTCATATTAAGATATGGTAGAATATGTAATTTCTTGCAGGTATTTATAATTCAACAAAGGTACAGGTTTTTTTTTTAAAAAAAACAACCCTGAAAATTGAGAATAAAATTCCAATTTTTATTAACTAATAGCCTTGACCTGAATGTGTTGATTTGTCTCTTTTAGGTTCATGAAAAGGAGGATGACCTGGGTAAAGGAGGAAATGAAGAGAGCTTGAAAACTGGAAATGCTGGTGCTCGTCTAGCTTGTGGGGTAGTTGGTCTAGCTAAAGCATAAAGTACTTCTATAAGTGAAAATGAATAGAATCAGCAGTATAGCATGTGGAATATAAATGTCTGTAGAATTGCCCGTTACTGGGTTTTGTTATGGTTTAAAAAAGAATCTTATGGTTGTATTAAATGGAATTTAAGATGGCAAGTCTTGTTTCCTTTACTTTTTTATCTGTTATTAAAGTGCTGTAAAACAAATGCAGAGTATTGGTATTATGTGGATGTTGAGTGTGCAGTTTTTTAAAAAAACATTCTAAGGAAAATGTTTTGGACATCTGAAATCGCTCTAATGCTAGTTTGATAATCCTATTCTTCAAAAATCTAGCAAATTCTCATTCTAGGATTTATTTAATAAATCAAGCCTGGTCAAATTAAATCTTAAGTGACAGCCTGATCACTGGAGATCATATACTCCAAATATTTATCCAAACTTTCTATATGGAACTGTTGCTGCTTCCTATGGGATGTGGTTTAAAATGTTACATTTTACAAGAAACCAACAAAATATTTTCATTTAAGTAATCTATGAGGTCTACATAACTATATTACATTACCTTTATAAAGGCAGTTGCTGAACAGAAGTCCTGCCACTTCACTATGGATATTGAGACTTTTAAGGGTTTGATAACAAACTCTGGTAAACAAATCTGCAAAATCCTGTATGGCATTAAAAAAAACCCCTAAATTTAGTAATAGTTTTATACTACTAATCCTATCATATAAAGATGGAATTTCAAAGAGCATTGTTAAAGGTGACCATGCTGAAAATAAAAAGATTAGTGAATCTGGTTCAATGTTAAAGGCAGAGAAATCAGAATTATTAGTAGTGGTTACCTGTGTTGGCCTTTTCTTAAAAGCTGTCTACCCTGTACTTGGCTATATATATATATATATGTTTTGTCCACACAAGTCTGTTTCACCATCTGGTAACTAGCAATGACTGTAACCCATTAAAAGTTTTAAGATCTAGAACAAAATGCAGGCCAACAAGTTGAGAGCTTTGTGAGTGCGCCACATGAAAAATTTATATTTAACACACAACTTTTTTTTCAAGCTAGTATTGATCATTTCTATTTATACATACATGATGATTTTCACTGAATTAGGGATTGCTTACTAAATGAATTTTAGAATCAATTTTGGTATGCTTGTAATGGTATGGAGACAGTTCAACACAAATTACAAATTAATTTCACAAGAATATAAAAAGTTATTTTTTATTCTATTGCAAAGAAGAATTTTGCCTCAGTTCATCTTCCAAAAGTTAAGTGGAGGGAGGGGAAGAATCTATTCTTCCACTTAAGTGCGCATAACAAGCTATCTGAAAGACACACCAAATCAAAACAAAAAATTCATGGCATCAGTATTTGCTGTTTGCTGCAGTTTTGGATAAGAGTTATCACTGTGTATAGAATAAACCAAGGAATAAAATGTATGTTTCTCTTAAGGCTTGCTGGCATTTGCTAATGGAGTTAATACTTGTTTCTTTCACTTACTATAAAGTTATGACACAGCCAGCTTACATAGCTTGGTTACTTGGTGAAAGTATGCAAAAGTCCTTTTAAAAACCTTAGTAGTTTGCTTTCATATACTCTATTCCAAGACATATTAAAGTAACAGTGGTAATTTGGAGAACAAACCCAAACATACTAATGGATTAAATCACAAAAAAAGTTTTTCCGCAGGAGCTGGCATAAGCCCAGGAACTTATTTATAGGGCAACATTTACCACGGCATTAATTGGATGGCCAGGAAAAAAAGTGACTTCACTGCAAACACCAGATTTCTTAAAACATTTAAAAGCTATTAATTTGTATCTAATAATGTAGTTAATTAAAATGCATAAATTTAAAATCAATGTAACTCACATATTTAGCTTCTGTGAACTATTATACAAACAGTTTTAACAGATTTAAACAGTCTAATTTAGACTCCAGTACAGCATTAGTTCAAACTTTTTAAGATGTTGAACAATTCTTTACCACTTCAGTGCAGCATAGGAAGAATAGCACACGTTAAGGATTGTTATGAAAATAGAGTTTATTAAAAACACATCCCTATTTTTAGGAGCTTTCACCATTTTACCTTCACTTAAATTAAAAAAAAATAGAAAGCACTTCTAAGTCTGATTTGTAAACTTTTTAAAGTGAAAACTTTAAAAAAGTTACAGCAGAAAATGGGTAATGGTTTATTTGTTTTCATGTTATTGTGTGGCTATTTTAAATAGAAGGGAAGCAATCAAATTGCTTACATGTCCCCATAAACTATGGGGAGAATTGTGATATAGCAAAAGCAAATATACAGCATACTGTACAATTCTAAAGCTCTACACTCCGATGTATTTTTTGACAAATTCCAGTCTCTAGCGAGGAGCCTCCGCAACTGAGCCAGTAGGTTTTTCAAGAGATGAGGTAGACTCAGATGCTACTTCTTCAGTTGGCTTCACACCAATAGGTTCAGACTCTTTATTAAGTTCTGAAACAGAGTCTGTGTTTTCTACTTTACTGCTCTGAGATTCATAGTTTTTGACCCCATCTACTCTGTCTGTCAACTCGGGTTTCTCCTTTCCTCGATTTTCATCTTTTTCTCTATGGGGTTCCCTATCTCTAGAATCTCTCTCTCTGTGTCCACTGAAACGCCGATTTCTTTCCTCCAAGTCTCTGTGTCTATCACGTTCAGGGCTTCTTCTTCCCCATTCTCTCCTTTCTCGATTACCAAGGCGTTCATGCTCTCTTTCATCATTACGGTTGCCATAGCGTTCACGTTCATTTTCTATCCGATTCCCAAAAGACCTCCTTCCGAACCTTTCCTGGTCTCTATGTGGAGTAAATGGTGGCCTATCATTCCTGAACTGCCTTCCATCTCTATTATCCTCAGATCCTCCTGGACCACCTCCAGGCATTCCACTGGGCCTTGCAAAGTGGCCTGGGGGTGGGAAAGGGCCCTTCATCCCATGAGGTGGAGGCATTCCAAAACCACCTGGCCCTGGAGGCGGACCTCTGTGCATCATATGAGGAGGCATATGCCGAGGTGGCATCATTGGAAACCGTTGCAGATGAGGTGGTGGCATTCCTGGAGGTCTCTGAAGTGGTATCAAACCGGGTCGGGCACCTAAAAGGCCAGTAGAAGGTGCCTGAAGCCCAATCACTGGACTAGATGTAACTCCTTGAGTACCTAGTAAACCAAAAAACATGTAATTAATTACAAGATACTACTTGTTCACATATAATCTCTCAAAAGATTAGAAGATGTGCTCTTTTTTAGGTTTCAATTTTTGTAACATTAAATGTTTATAAACATTGAAGCATGCAACATTTAAACAGGCTTTTACTAATAGTTTACTAATATCAATACACTTAAAATTTAGACCTGTCTTCATTTCTTTTCAAAAAGTATGGTCTACCAAAAATGAAACACTATGAAAGAGTACATTATTCAAACCCCATGTATACCTTTTTCTGAAAGTTCAGCTCAATACCAATTATGCAAAATGATACTGGAGAAGATTGTACATAGAATTCTTTCATTTTTTTTAATGGACAGAAAATTAAATGAATTATCTGTGGATCAGCATGGCCAATTTAAATCCCTTTTATTTTAATAGGCCTATTCTAACCTTCAATATCTAATATACAACAAATTACAATTATATGATCATCTCAAAACTACGTCAAAAAACTTGCATTGATACAAGCTTTCTGTCTTCCAGTTAAGAACTACCCTGTACCAATCTAAAACCATTCCAGAAATTTAAAGTGATAGAATTCATTTTAAGACACATATGTCATTTTAAAATACATATATTTAACAGAAGGGGGAGTTTAAAGATTTTGCATTAAACGCTTTGCTGATAAAATTGGGTTTATAATACCCAGAATAATTTTTGATTTTCTTTCTTTAAAGGTTTAACAAAACTGTAAAATGTTATGCCATAAAAGTATTTCAGACCCATCTTCATCCCTAAGAAGCATCTAAATAGGAACTAAGTAATTAAAACAATTTAATTTTCAACTCTATACCAAATCTTATAACCAGAGCAGAACATAAAGTCCAAGTATGAATTGAAATTGCATTTCAAACATGCTATGTTTTAAGTTTCACAACTAATTCCCATTCCTTTGTAAAGCTGACACAAGAGTCAAAACAAAAGAATTAAAGTTTTTGCATGTTTAAATTGATGGGGCATTATTTTTAGCAATAATGCTTGGAGCTCCTCAATTCTATGTACACTTGGTTGATAATAATTATAACGTTTATTTAATATGGTGTACTTAGTATATCTGTTTCAGCATTGTCTTTCCATACACATACATCAGTAAGCATAGCAATAATTCTAAACCCTTAGAAATACCTAATGCTCTGAACACAAGACTCCAGTAGAAATACTTTAAACCCAAGATTTTCTTGCTTAAAAGAAACAGAATTCCCCTTCCCCTACAATACACCAATGGGGTGGGCTGAGGGTTGTATCTATATTTGCTAAGCAGCCTCAAGTGCACATGAGAAAACAGTCGTTTTCTGAACCAGGGTTAGGCAATTTTTACAATGCCTCACCACTTCCCATTCACTAGTTTCCCAGAGTACAAAACAAGTTTCATCATATATTGACAGGCAATATCTGTCAATATATGAAGGGGAGGGAGATTTATATGCTGCCTGTTTTCATGACTCTAGGGTTAGGCAAAATAGCCTAGCTCAGCGAAAAATACTATCACTGGTAGAACAGTGTCTCAAAGAACCTGATCAGCTTGGAGGGCGGAGATGACGTTTAGTATCTTCCTGCAGCTTTTTGTCTCATGGTTGTGTCCAAATTTGGCACAATGTATATGGAAATACAAACTATTATTATATTCAAAACATGATCCATGTGGTTGCAACAGGTTCTAGATCCCAGATGCAATTTACATATTCTTTGAAGACATTTCTCTTCACAAAAATAATCATCAGAAAACAAATAGATATGTTTAGTATTAAAGAGGTCCATGTATCAAATAACACACACAATTTAAGACATCTAAACAACTATTGAAATGATTGAACTCAAGGACCAAGAAATTCAGCTGGGATTAAATTGCAACATAAACTATATTTTTAAAGACTTGTATTATGTTTAGATTTTGTTTCTTGACATATTTTCCATACTTTTCTTTCAAATAAAGATAACTATAACTATAATTAGGAGGAAGAAAAGTAGTTACGAAATTGAAAGATTATTAGACCAACCAATGCCGCACTGAGTCATTGTTTCAGAGACATTCCCTTACCCAGAGAAACAGAATGACTGAGGGGGGGAAAGCAAGGATCAGGAAACAATTTCCAACTTCCTGCAGCTTTCCATTGAATTTCCTAGATGAAATCTGGCAGGGAGAACCAGAAATCTGCCCCCCTCCCTCCCATTTCCCTCAGGCAAGTAAAGTGGTTGCTACTAGGTGTGGGAAAGAATGAGGGATTGACTAACTAATGATGACTGAACATTCAAAATAGATCGTACCACAACAGCAGCCGCTACTGCTAACCAGCCATAACTTCCCAATATTTTATTACCCATGATAATTTGTTTCCTTCACTAATATTCAATTATAATCTCCCTTCCAATGACATTTATTATTCAGTGCTTTACATTCTGAAATTTTAAAAAATTCTTCATCTTCTTCCAAGTAACATCTTTTCAGGTATTTGAAGAGTGTTATATTCCCCAGTTGTGTTTATCTCAGGCTTAAATCTCTGCTCAAGAATTTGATTTCTAGTCACCTAATATTCTTGATGTCTTCCTTTGAACCTGTTGCAATTTCTCCCAATACTTTTTGAAATAACAGAATAAAATAACAGAATTTGAAGGGACCTTGTAGGTCTTCTAGTCCAAGCCCCTGCTCAAGCAGATTATATACCGTTTCAGACAAATGACTGTACAGTCTCTTCTTTAAAATCTCCAGTAAATGGAAATTAAATGTGGGGTTGCAATGGACACCATATTCAAAATGGGGTGTACCCTTGGCTTACCTGAGAAAGAAGCAATAAATAAAAGCTTTCTATAGTATAACCTTAAGAAACAAATGTAAAGATAAAGAAGGAATCTGTAGTGATCATCTGCACTGCTGGTAGCATGTTTGTGATCCAACTAAAAAATGAATTGCCATGTGTTAGCAGCAAGTGCAAATTTACAGGGTCTATGAAGAAAGGATCAAAGCAGTGAACAAAGCAGAGAAAGCCCATATTGAATTGAGGTAAAAGGATGAAGCTTTAACAGGAAACAAAAGGGGATGCTACATGATTAAACTGGCAGAACTGAGATATAGAAGATACACTGTGACTCAGAGTTTTGAATCCTGTTCAACACTGACAAAACAAACAGAAAATAAATACCAAAAGAAAATGGAATACCGTGACACTTTTGAAAGGCATATTTCCTTAACAATTAAAGGCAGTTTAAAAAAAAACTAAGTAGCAGTCTGCTATATTCCAAGGAACTTCCTAGCAGGTCATGCATCATGCAGCAGGAATTGTCTTGTGTTGCTTTTTGTTATGAGAACAGAAGACACCAAGATATTCAATGGGTTGTTGTAACCCATAGGTTACAACAGGGAAAAATAGGAGGCAAAAGTATTAAGTTATGTTCACCATCTTGCATTCATCATCATCATAATCATACTCAGATGCTATTTATTGGGCTCCTTAAAAGATAAATACATCCTCCCGGATTTGAACTGCATATGGATTCAATGGAATATCAGCATTATGGACATCCCCAGCGTTGTCACTCTTTTGACACTTCTTTTTGTTTTGATAGTATTAGAAATTTCTTTCGATGATATTTCCCACGTGGTCTTATCACTTAAAAGCTGATGGAAATTAAAAGACTGGGGCTGAATAAAGAAGAGTAAAGCAAGAGCTCTGACAAGCAGAAAAATAATGTGGATTAGTAACAGATTTGCAAACTGAGTCAGTGGTGAAGTGGTTGAAAAGAAAGGCAATTACAGCCAACCAATACATTTTATAATATAAAATAACACTTCTATTTTAGTCTGCAATGGCCAGGATGTAGTCCACATAGTATCCAGTTTCAGGCAGAAAACTTTTAAGTTTTAGAGAAACGGACAAATGTTAAAAAAAAAAAAGGAAAAGAAAACTATCAGGGACTTAGAAGCTAAATCCCATGATGAGAAACTGAATAAACTGAGAGCATTTAGTCTTAAGAATTAGGAATATAATTGCATATTTGAAAGTACACAAGCTTGTTTTCCTATAATTCCCATAATGCCATCACAGAAGTACACAAACACCTTTCACACAATGGAATCAATTACCTACATACAGGGAATGATTTGGATTCCTGAACTGAGCAGGGAGTTGGATTTGATAGCCTAAATGGTTATCCTATATATAATCATAGTTAAGGATGATTATACATGCAAACCTTTCTGCATCAAACTGAAAATCAAGACTAGGTATATATAAAATATTCCATTCCAGAGCCAGAATATTCTGTTGTAGAATATTACCTTGAAGAAAGACTACAAAGGTAGTTATGTAAAAACAATTTAACCCTAAAAGAAAGAAAAAATGAGAAAAAAACCCTCAAGTTTGCCCTGTCATGATTTCCTTTGGCAGAAGATGGAGAAACTCTGTCATGCCTTTAAGATCCTATTATACCATGCAACAATAGAGTTCCAGTAGTTCGTATGAAGTCTGCTTCCTGACCATCAAAAGACTGACATCTGGGAATCTAAAAGGTATATTGTTAAAGATCTTCTCTGAACTCAGAAGGTAGTCCTTACTTAGCATTTGTTTCAGCAACTATTTGCAGTTATGATGGTGCTGAAAAATGGTGAGCAATGGCTGAATTTATTATCTTCACCTCATTTTTATGTCATATGATTACCATTACAGTCCTGTGTAAAAATCGCAAGCATAGTTGTAACCACTTTGCTCAATAATCTTTCCAGTCCAAATTGTGATCACTGAAGGAAAACTAAAATGTACTGATGCAGCCATTATACGTAGCAGTTTTCCAGAAGCAAAGCTTTTGGAATAGAAAATGGTTGACAATGCTCCATGGAACATAGCTAATGAATTTCAATTACATGAAAATGTAATCCAAATAAAATTGAGCCATTTTCTAACAGTAAGAACTATTTGACAATAAAGCAAAAATACAAAGGAAAATGGCCAATTTC